GGCTTATAATACAGCTAGTCCTCATTGTACCACCACAACAGAGCCCAAAACTAGAAGCCCTGTCGTAAAATCATCCTGGGCTTATAACACAGCTAGTCCTCATTGTACCACAACAGAGCCCAAAACTAGAAGCCCTGTCGTAAAATCATCCTGGGCTTATAATACAGCTAGTCCTCATTGTACCACCACAACAGAGCCCAAAACTAGAAGCCCTGTTCTAAAATCATCCGGGGCTTATAATGCAGCTAGTCCTCATTGTACCACCACAACAGAGCCCAAAACTAGAAGCCCTGTTCTAAAATCATCTGGGGCTTATAATGCAGCTAGTCCTCATTGTACCACTACAACAGAGCCCAAAACTAGAAGCCCGCTCATAAAATCATTTTGGGCTTATAATACAGCTAGTCCTCATTGTACCACAACAGAGCCCAAAACTAGAAGCCCTGTTGTAAAATCATCCTTGGCTTATAATACAGCTAGTCCTCATTGTACCACCACAACAGAGCCCGAAACTAGAAGCCCTGTTGTAAAATCATCCTGGGCTTATAATACAGCTAGTCCTCATTGTACCACCACAACAGAGCCCAAAACTAGAAGCCCTGTCGTAAAATCATCCTGGGCTTATAATACAGCTAGTCCTCATTGTACCACAACAGAGCCCAAAACTAGAAGCCCTGTCGTAAAATCATCCTGGGCTTATAATACAGCTAGTCCTCATTGTACCACCACAACAGAGCCCAAAACTAGAAGCCCTGTTATAAAATCATCTGGGGCTTATAATGCAGCTAGTCCTCATTGTACCACCACAACAGAGCCCAAAACTAGAAGCCCTGTTATAAAATCATCTGGGGCTTATAATACAGCTAGTCCTCACTGTATGACCACAGTAGAGCCCCAAACAGTTGTTAAGTGAGTTTTGCCCCGTTTTACGGCCGTCGTTATGCGAGTCGCTGCCGTTGTTAAGTCAGAAGGCGGCAAAAAAAGGGGGATCGATCAACCCGAATCCCGGGTCGTTGCAACCGTCCTAAATACGAGTCAGTGGCCAAGCGCTCTGAATTGTGGTCACATGACCGCTGCAACAGTCATTAAGGGTGAAAACGGCCGTCAGTCCATTGTTAAATGGTCACTAAAGGAACTGTTGTAAGTCGAGGACTGCCTGAACTTGGTGCCAGTTCCGGTTTCTCCGGTGCCTCCTAGCCCGGGCCCGATCCTCAAGGGGAAGCTCCTAAGATGGGCGGCTTTCTCGGGACGGGTGCAGGTGTGGGAGCTTACCTGGTGGTGACCTTACCTGGCACGGCGGGCGGGACGGTCCGGCGCAGGGCGGTGACGGTGGCCATGGCGATCTCTTCGGGATTGTACTTGTTGGGGCAGGCGTGGCCAGGGGTCACCATGTTGGGCTTCAGCAGGGTCCCTTCCAGGTAGATGTGGTGGTCGCTCAGGGCCTTGTAGACGGCAGCCAGGACCTGGGCAGTGGGCCAGAGCCAGGCTGGTCAAGCCCCTCAAAGGGAACAAGGCCCACCAAAGCCCCCCCCCAGGTAATTAAAGGGAGTGTCACCAAAATGCTTCCAATGAAGCTCGATTTTTAATTCAGCTTCTGTGCAATAAATGACCGAAGGGTTCAGCCTTGCTGGCATTTTACTCTCTGCTTTACAGAACTTCCCATTGGCTAAATCCACGTTCTCAGAACTCAGAGCAACATCATGGAAGGTGCCTCCCTTCCGTTTATCCCCCCCAAACCACCCCCCTTCGAGATGGCTGGGCCAGAGGACAACAGGCTCAAAGTCACCCACTCAGCTACCCGTGCTCTCCTTCGTGCCCTCTTTGCCTTGCTCCCATTGACAGCCCCCCCCACCCTACACCCGCCCCCCATAAGCCACGGTACCTTCTCAGTCACGTACTGGCACCGCTTCAGGTCGTGCTCCCCGTCTGGCAGGATCTCCGGTTCCACGATGGGCACAATGCCGTTCTGCGGGGAGAGCCAAGCCCAGCACTGAGGCCCCCGCAGAGGCCAAGGGCCCACCCCAAAGCCAGAGCGGAGGGTCGGGCGGGCGGCTGGCTCACCTGCTGGCAGATGCTGGCATAGCGGGCGAGCACGTTGGCGTTCTCCAGGATGGCCAGGCTGGAGGGGGTGTTCTCGCTGATCTTCAGCACACAGCGCCACTTGGCAAAGTCCGCGCCATCTTTCTTGTACTGGGCACAGCGCTCTGCCAGCCCATCCAGCCCTGGGGGAGGGAGGGAGGGGAGGGAGGGAGGGAGGAAGGGAGGAAGGAACGAAGGATGGAAGGAAGGAAGGAAGGAAGGAAGGAAGGAAGGAAAAAGGGAGAGAGGAAGGGAGGGAGGAAGGAAGGAAGGAAAAAGGGAGAGAGGAAGGAAGGAAGGAAGGAAGGAAGGAAGGAAGGAAGGAAGGAAGAAAAAAGGGAGAGAGGGAGGAAAAATGGAGGGAGGAAGGAAGGAAGGAAGGAAGGGAGGAAGGAAAAAGGGAGAGGGAGGGAGG